ACCTTGAAGGTTCATTGGTTCATTGCTCTCATACTATATGACATTGACAACAAAGGTAGCCTCAGCAAGAAAGGCATTGTGATCAATTTTGTTGACTTTGTATACAATTGCAAAACACACAATCTATTTCCATGATGATACTTTGGTGTCAACATACCTTATTATTGGTCAAAATCATATTGTTGCTATTGTTATCAATTTAAGTATTTATTTGAATTTATAAGAAATGTTTTCAAAATAGAAGAATAATAAGTAGAATTTGCATAAAATTCAAGGAAGTTGTTTTTGAATTCCTAAGTGAGAAATCTTTTGTAACTTCTACATTGTGCCAATAACTTTTTAATTGAATTACCATTTTGAGTTCCTTTCTTTACTTCTACAACCTGCACCTAGACATATTTTTATTTTTCTCCAATTTATATTGAACTATTTTGAATTTTAAAAATATATTAATAAAATTGAAAAAATAATCCTACTCATCCTAATTGTTATTATCACTGTATTATTATTTTGTATGTTAGAATCGTAATTAATAGAAGGAAATAAGAGGGACGAAATGAAAAGAGTATAAATGGAGGATGATGAGATATTTTGTTGTTTGTATTTAATGTGTTTATATCCTTGATGTTTTCCTTTTAAGTTGAATTACTTTTGAAAGAAAAACACAAAAAGTCCAAACAAGTTAAGTTAATCCAACATAGTCTATCCCTTGAAGAAAAAGAAAGTGCAACATAAACCTTGATGAGATGCTTATACAGTGAGAAATTACTTTAAAACCGCATTGATTATAATTTTTCAAATATATGATTTGTTTCAGTGAGTAGATTTATTATCAGAGAAAATGTTATACAACTAAAAAAATTAACATAATTTTTTATATTCATTTGAGTTTTAGAATTTTATCTGCTCTTGCAATAGCGAAGCTGCACATGCTACAGCGAAACTCTCTTAGTTTATTCACAAGTTTCACATTACGGCCTAGTTCAGCAGAATTATCTTCCTCTTGATACCCATAAAATCATGGTTTTCATTTACTCATCTAATATACAACCGTTAAATAGATATTTATTGTGTTTTCAGGTGTCCAGGTGATACGTACATATTTCACAAGTATGTCTCCAAGAACCTAAGTGAAACTTATGTAATGCATTCCATTGGCACAATATTTTCAATTGCAAGAATCTTAATATAATATATCTGACAAAGGCTGTTCTCAGTATATCAAGAGTTAAACACTAATTGCTTCTTTTCTTAAAGTCGATTCATTTGTAGTAGACGAGGGACACAATTACAGAAGTGTACAGTGCTGCTTCTATTTTATGCGACTAGGAAGGATTGTAGCAAATATTGAGTAAAGGAACAGATCAGTTTTCTTTTGATGAAATTTTTTCAAGTTAGATAAAATAGAACTGATATGTGATAAAACCGTACTTAAATTTGTGTAGTGAGCGGTTCATTTAAGTACTCACTACACAAATTTCCGCACTAACAGGTGTGGTTAAACTCGGACTGATTATCCCTATACTATGAACATCAACTGGTCATGTCACAGTATGGCAAAGTATATGCGGGACACTGGAAAATTGTGATAGATCCTTCCAAATCCACGTTTATATGACTGCTAATTCTCTCGGTTGGGCACCCCAACATTTGAGAACATTCATTTGAGAAAATTAGGACTTCAGGATTTTCCTTGAGAACGGTTCATTCACAACGGTTGACATGTTTATTATCTTTCTAATCAAAGTGGAGTCACGTATTACATTCTGGAAATAGTTCTAAACGAATCCATGAAAAACGGTAGATGTGTTCGATAGGAATTTCAATCGCCACTACATTTGGGTACTTAGAGGAATGACATGACACGCAAGTGGATATCTCACTCACGAAGTTGGGACAGATATCTCAATGGGTCCACGCATCCAAAAATCTAGTCAGTGTAGTATAATATCGCACCATGGACTGAACCTTCTGCCACAGACAGGCAGTGGCTCACCACCTAAAAAAGATGCTTGCAGTCTACCTGTAACTGACGAGAGATCAGTTCATGAGGAAATCAATGACCTCTGCTTTTTGTACAGAATATAAACAATCTGAATGAATCACCACAAGCTATAGAGATGGTCATCATACTAAACAATACCGTCACAACCCGAAATTGTCTACGTTCCAAAGGATGGAATTTTGTACAGTCACAATCACCGGCCTCCTCTCTCCTCATCATGTTACAACCTCTGCAGGTGGCATGGTCTGTCCCAGAGGGTGATTGCATTGCCGTTGTCACAAGGCATTGCAATGTGCGACCTCAGGACCATAGGAGTGTCCGCAGGACACGAATGTGCATTGGATTCGACGCATGTGCATCGCGATCAGAGGTTTGCTAAGTTCCATGGCTACGAGCGCAACACAAGAACAACTAGGACACTGAACAATGCCAGAGTAGCAACCAGCCACAGTTCTACTCCCGTCATCTTTATCAAACCATGGTCTTATAAAATGTCAGTTGGTAGTTCAATAGAGAAATTCAGGACAGGTCTATATGTCGTATTTTTAACGAACAGCTCATTGTGTTATGACTCAATAACCTTACGAGGAGAGATCAGAGCCACGGCCATGGTTTCATGTTCGACCACACGTTAACTTTCGGAGTGGTAACGGATGTAAAATATCGTCACTTTTCTCCAATTAACATTTTCATACACTTGTACGTTGCATGGTCTGTCCCAGAGGGTCACTGCTGCGACGCTGCTCCCCAGGGCAATGGAATATGCAACCTCGCTTTCGCGGAGACGGTATGCGCCAACGACTCACACCCTCATCACGCGAAACCATCTGTCTGTGACGTTGACACAGGACTCTGCGGCCACAACCGCATCCAATGAATGCAAATCACCGCTCCGTAATTGTCAAGGCCGTACCCCGCCAAGAGTACCGCCCCCGTCACCAAACCTCCACTCATTCCGAAACACTATGCCGCGCATCTGACACAACTACCACATAACTCAGGACCTCTGCCACTACGCCAAAACCATTTAACCACTTGTCCTTGAGCAACAATCAGTAACCCATAGGCATTGTGTGCCGCAAGCACTGAAACGATAGATCAAGTTTCCTTCTACTCCGATTCCAATTAGGACCGCAGGAACTAGTCTGCTGACCGCCAAATCCAGAACCAGAGCATTGTACTTTCCTCCATTAACTACGACTCCTCCCACACACAATACTCCTCAGCCACCCGGCTCCTAGATACAGTGTGGGTGGCTCCACTGTGATCAGAAAACTTTGAAGACATTTTATACTGATTCCATCACTAGATCAGCCAATTTTTCTTTCTTCATATCACAAGGCACCTAAGGACCCACCCACACAGTGCCCGAGAAGATTCTAAAAACACCATACAAACAGCCCACAAGGTCTCGCCATGTCGCAACTACAGGTGACAACAACCGAGCCACGACAATCGACACTTAAACCCTACACATAGAAATGCTGCATGGTCGTAAGACAATGTCGCCTGTCGGACTCAAAGGGCATGTGTGTGCACAATCGAGAGATGAAGAGTGCAAGTTACCTCACGACGAGAAGGGAGGAGACAGAAGGTTTGGTAAACCGAGTGAGCCAACGTATTCTTATATAAACCAGCAAGCAAGCGCCGAGACAGGATTAGGGTTTGACGGAGGATCTTATCCCACGTCCTCAAATCCACATCCGTTTGTCATTTGATGTTCGTATCGAGGTGTTTATTGAAGTCCTCAAACTCGTATTCGCATTTCAATCGTAGCGAACGGAACTCAACTATGCTGTCATTCACCACATCCTGGTACTCTTCATTCGTTCGTCAAGCTTTCATTCCTCGTTCCAGTTCTTTATTACTTTATTATTGTGATCCCCCTATTCCTCGTCTTTCCAATGTTCATTATAAATATTTCATTTTTGGTGAAGTAAATTTCTTGCAGTTTATACTGCTCGTTTTTTGTTTTTTATTTGTATTTTATTGGTAATTTATAGTTGAGATTACAAATACTTGACGATGTCGTTAATCAGGTTCAGACAAAAGCAAGGATATATTCAAGGTTATGGTTTGGAGATATGGAAAAATGTACAAACTGGGTAAGTTGTGGACAATGATAGATGTTTGGCCTTTTTACAAGTGAAACATCACGATGTTGCATTCATGTGTCTTGTATTTTTTAAACTTTACTTTATATTAATATAATTATTATTGGTACATTTGTAAATTGGCGAAAAGATATAATTGTACGTATTTGTATATGGTGACTATAATTGAACAGGTTGTGAAAAGATTTTAAATAATAACGAACATAACTACAATAAAACTATGCACCCATGACAAACATTCATATTGACTTCCTTATAATCCCATCGTAAGAAACATGTTATTGCAATGTATTCCTTTTTTACCTTTATTTTTTTCTAGCATTTTTATTTGTTTCCGTGAATACATTACATTTTGGTGCTGATGTGATGTCATAGGTTTTATAGAAAAATAATCATAAATAAAATAAATAAAAAATTATATATATATATATATATATGTATGTTTTTGATAATTGACGACACTTCTGGATTATTAAAGATAAATACTTAATGATGATGACAAAAAATACAGGTGTGAAATTAACCATATAACAACGCTTTAAATTTTTTAAGGGATGCCGATCTTATTATTAACTCTTGTTGATTTCTAACATAATTAATTAGTTCATCCATTAATAAATTTATCCATCCATTCATTTATTCATTCATTCATTGCCTTGAACATTAATTCTGCAGTGCAGCGATGCTTGTGCAACTTTGCCAACGCTGCTTCCAATAGTATTCGACATTATATTGTACAGTACATTTATATTATACTCACACATTGTGAGTACGATACATATACAGTATGCGAAGACGAAGACATGGAATACAATCGATATGCATCATTTCCGTCGGATGAATGAATAATGGTTTCCGTGTGTAGTATCGTACATCCATTAGGTCAATGGAGAACCCCATAGCCCTAAAGCGAAGGAAGGGTTCTCTTGGAAGCTCCCTCGTCGCCTCATGCAGGCTTAGTATCCCTGGAGTGGCTCTCTTGCAACGTCCCTGCGTGTCTTCTCCATTGCCCGCAGCCATGAAGTTCTCTCCCCGTAAACTCACGCCTCTTCTCTCTCTGTGTTGCAATTTTCAGCATTGAAATCGATGCAGGATTGTCGTTTCAGAGGTTGATTTTAGTTGGTTAAGTGGTTTTTGAGGAAACGTCTCACTGGACTCGCTCCCTGAGTCTTGATTGAAATGTGAAGAGGTTTGCGTGTGTGTCTGTGATTTTGTGTAAGGAATTGTCGAAAGTTCGACATGTACGCAGAGGACGTTCCGCACGAAGTGCAGTGATCTATGCGCGTTCGTAGTTGGATGTTGTCGTTCTCATCAGGTTGCCAATGTCGTTAATGTTGTGTTCGTACTCGGTGGGGTTGATATAGGTGTGAGCAGCTCTAGGCGCAAGTCGAGGAAGGCACACTTCAGTGCCCCCTCTAGCGAGAGGCGGATTCTGATGAGTGCTGCTCTCTCTTCAGACCTGAAGAACAAGTATAATGTAAGTGTCGGATTTTTCATTTTTCGAGCAATTTTTTGATGTAGTTGTCGATTGAGACCCGAATGTATGTCCCTTTGGATTGGAGACTTCGCTTTTTGTGATGCAACCTCAGGTTTGATATACGTCATTGTGCAAGTATCCCGTCAGTCTGAGATGTCACTTAAATTGGCTTGCAAGTGATGGATGTTGGAACTCTACGTGGAATTCTGCGGCGAGTTGCTTCTACTTTTGTATTGTTATGTTGACGCGTTAGAACGATTTCAGGTTCGGTCTTTGCCAGTGAGGAAGGACGACGAAGTCATGGTTGTGCGCGGCACGTTTAAAGGGAGAGAAGGAAAGGTCGTCCAAGTGTATCGGAGGAAGTGGGTGATTCATGTGGAGCGTATCACTCGTGAGAAAGTGAACGGTATGCACAGCTGTCTAGTCACGCTGCGGAACCTTGTTTATGTGAAGTTATTGTGATGCTCCGCAGTTGTCTTGAATGTGAGCAGTCGATCTTTCCCCTCCAATCAACTGCCGTTTCGTTCACGGAGAAGATTTTATGGTTTAACGGTTCTTTTGATCTTTGGACGGGGTTTTTCAGGAGCCACCGTCAACGTTGGCATCGACACATCCAATGTGGTGATCACGAAGCTGAAATTGGACAAGGATAGGAAGGCCCTCTTAGAGCGAAAGGGCAAGGGTCGATCTGCAGAGAAAGGAAAGTTCACGAATGAGGATGTTGCTCCACCACTGCAGGAAGTGGATTAGAAAGTTTTGGTTTTTGATAATGATGCCACTCCAGCCATGTAGTGGTATGGATGAGATTACACACTCAACGCCGAAGTTTTTATTTTTTCCCCGTGTCATGTGTTGTCTTGCTGACTTGAGGAGGATCTGAATTGTGGGTGGAATTGTGGTGGAATCTGGCTTGGTGTTCACGAAGTACTTCATTGTTGGTCCTCTGCCAATATTGATCTGCTATGGTTGTGAAGCAGATTAGATCATGTCAACTACATTCATTAATTTATGCAAATTTGATGGAGGATAGAAAAAAGTATCATATTTGAAAAACCAGGACTTTTCAAACGGAAGCGACTCTATTCCAGTACTTATCGACGAAATTATAATCGTACAGTCTAAACGCATTTTCTTGACCGAATTTTTGTAGGAAACAATGTTTTACAAGGTAGTCCTCATTACGTTATCTATGAAGCTTCTCATACGTTATCTATGAAGCTTCTTCAATTTTCTCCCCAGTTAAATTTCTAAAGTATTAATATTCTAACAATATTGTACTTTTGTATTTCCTTTATTTATTAACTTTTCATTTCGTTTGAAAGCACATTCAGTAGCTTACTTAAATGTTCTTGAAATCAAATATAAAATTAGGTGAAGTTGAATTATTTCCAGGTTTATGGAAATATCTTGACCACCTAATGCCATCATACTTTATCAAATTAGTCACTCAAGCTACTTGATTCTTAGCTTTGTAGAAAATCCTGCTTTGACACACAAGCAATCAAATTTTCTGTACCAACTTTGGTCATAATGTAAATATTTACTTTGAATAATCTAAAAGATAATAACAACATTTCTAAATAAACGAAGTCTTGTGTTTTTAGTGACACAAATAAAGAAATTTGCAAAAAAAATAAGATAGTGATATTTCAATACCCCTCTTGGATGTTTTTGGTACCCATTTCCCAAGTCATGGATTGCTGCCATTGAGAATGTGAGTGAGAACATGTTCTTAAGTTTTTAAAGTTTCTAACTTTTCAGGTCGAACTTCTACTCTCCCAACTGAGAAGGGCGTTGGGAGGTACAAAAATATACGGGAGAGTATTAAAAAAAAAAAAAAATGTGCCCATAAAAGAAGAAATTAATATAAGTTATAGTCTTTAGAAATAATAATTGTAAGTTTAACCTTTATTTTTTCATGTAGAATGTAGGTAGAAAAGCCATCTTCAAAAGATATCAATGTACATCATCAAAATGTATATGAGAATACTTTATTAAAAGTATTGAAGAATATTGAGACAAATAATTTATCACAAATAGTGATATTATTTTGTGAACCAAAATTTATGAACAATTCAATAAATTTTAAAAGAGAAAACATAATTAATTCTATTCCATATTTTCTAAGAGAATCTTCAATCAAACAACAAAATTTTAAGGAACAAAACATTTTTGGTTATCATAAATATTTTAACATTTGTTTTTTTTCTATTTCTTCATTTCACTTTAGTAAAATATGAAATTTGATAGTTTAAAAAAATATGAAAATTTTAGCATCTTAATTTACCAATTATTTATAATCAATACTTGTTTTTTAAATATGATTGACAATGTTATAGAATAGATAAAGATAATAATTGTCTATGCAAAATACATATCAATCATACAATAATGTTATAAACTAAAATTATTGGTTAAAAAAAAATTATATTATAATTAATAATATCTTGGTATAAAATGGTGCCAAGCCCATTTTCTTAATATAAATGTATTGGGTAAAGTAATTGTTCATCACCACTCTGGTTTTTATATCTTTTAATTTAAAAAAAAAAAAAAAAAGATTTCTAAAACATAATTGTGTTTGAAATGATGTGTATTGTAAGCATGAAAATACAATCTTTGATATTTGTGTTGATCCTTAATGGTATTTGAAAGATTGATTTATTGCATAATGGAGGTCTCAAGAGTCATATTTGTTATTTTTAAACATTTTTTATATTAAAAAAATTTAGATATAAGAAGAAGAACATGAAAACATGGGAACATGGGATCTCAAGAAATGCAGGAATGTGGGAGCATAAGAACACAATGCCTTTAGAGGCCCAGTAGTTAGAAAGAGACAACTCTTGAATGCTTTTATAGCTTTTCAGTGTCAAATGGCACATGTTTTGCTAGTATATTCATAAGGCGAGTCAAATCACAATCCAGAAATTAATAGAGGAAAAAGGGATACTTTTAATAATTCAAAGAAACAACTAATTACTTTATAATATTACAATTGTTTATTTAAGTAGGGTCTAATTTTGTATATATTAAAGGAATCTATATTATTTTAATCAATTTTTATCACTTTCATTTTTAAATAATTGATGAGTTACTTCAGTATTTTAGATATATATATATATATATATATATATTTATCAATAGAATATAATTAATTACAAATATTTTAAATTATTTAGGCTAACTTCTATAACAAATAAATTCTTATGTTCTTTTTAATTGGTTTTTGAAAACATCTTTGGCAGCAATACTTGTCACAATTTTTTTAAGAAAATGATCTTAGTTGAAAATTTCATTTACAATGACAATGAAAAGGACACATTTATATTAGTCAAGAATTACTAAAAGCACTATTTTTATACCAAACTCCTAATAAAACAAAAAACACTTTTATATGAAGAAATTGTTTTGTTTTGTTTTTGTTTTGTTTTGTTTTTTTTTTCTTCTCTATTAAATGGTTGTAATACTTTGGAACGTCCCTTTTAAGAACCTCAATACCAATTACAAAATTGGTGAAGTAGAATCATCAAATGCAACTTGGAATAAAATGAACGAAGACCTAATCGTATAATGACATGTCTACCATTGTATTATTCTATTCTATTGTGTGATAAAATTTCTCCACTTTACATGAAGCCTTCCAAGAAATTGTCCTCAACTGAAAAGGAACAAAGAAATTGACTGTCGTGGTAAAAGTTACAAGCAATGGTGCCTACCTTGGTAGTTCTCTTTTTCACGAAGCAAGTTTGAAATTTTGAATTCGTAAGGCGGAGTCTCCCGAGACAAACGGCGACGCATAGAAATCTCCGCCGCGTTGCAATCCTCCCTCCGCTCGGCAAAATGCAGCTTCCTGGATGCGTCGTTGAAGTTGCAGGGCAATCTGCAGAAGCGCCGATCGCCCACCTGAAGAGACTCGAGGAGACCGTTCCTCGATGGCGGAGCTGGTTTGACCAACGTTGCAATGCATTGTAGAAGCCGCGGCAAACAGGACAGAGCGATCGATCAGCTGCGGTGGGTCAAACCAGCGCGGAGTTGCTGAGCCGTTGTGACGCTTGCATTGCCAGGCAAGACCGTTGAATTTCTATGCCTAACTTGCAGGAATGGTTGGTGTGTGTGTCGAGTGTTGGAAACGGTAGCGGGTTGTGAGAGAATATGGTCATCGCACTGGATCGGGTTGTTAGCATTTGGGTTATTTATTGAAGGAGGGCACTAAGCTGTGAGTGTCATCTGCTGGAGTCTCTCTGGATTGCTTCTTGAGCCCTGTCGCAGCTCGTATTGTGGAGTTGGAAGAAGTGCAATTTGTGGTGGGATTCGGAGGGTGAGAATTTGGGCTGATTGTGGGCGTAGTCAAGATGAGCGATGATGACGGCTGTGATTGTCGACCACTTGGGTTCCTCATTGGCCTTCCCTTCATGTTGGTGGCCTTTCTTCTGTCTTTAATCGGCATGGTGCTCTGGATAATTGCGTAAGCGCTCTGAACTCCTCACAGGATCGTCGGGGATTTGCAAATTACAGGGGTTTAACTTGAGGTGTGGTTCGTTTTGTTGTGTTGGCAATTCGAGAAAAAGTTTGAGGAATTCTCGGTACCTTGCCATTCAAACCTAGTACGTGGGTCTTAGCCCCATGTTCAGAGCACATCAACCTGGTGCTCAATTTGCCGTGGCCAATTTTATTTCAATTGCTCAATTTTTTTAGTCTTTACTAGTAGCGGCAGCATTAGGGTGAAGAGTGGGAATCACATGTGATTTTTATTCTTTTCAGAATGTTGTTTTCGACCCATCTGACTTGAGTTGTAAGTATTTCTTGGGGTAACTGGCTATGAATATTTTCTTTTCTAAAGGTGTAATTGGTAGAAGGCAAATGCCACAACCAGCATTGACGTGTGTCGTGTTCTGCGTCTTTGCAGGACCCTTTTAGCATGTTGTTGCCCTTGTGGAATCTGCTGCGCGGGCATTTTGAATCTTGCCTTAAGTCTGATAAAAGCCCCCATCAAGGTCATCAGATGGTTCACCAAGCAAATACCTTGCTGACTTCAATTGGCCCATCGCCTGTTTTCATACTGTTCTAGTGGTTTTAAGTTTCCCTTAAGGCTACACATCTCATCAAACCAAAGCCGTTGTCTGCCATGACTGGTAACTTTGCTCTTTAGCCTTATTCAGGTGGTCTACCTTGCCGACAGATATGGAGGAATTAAAGACTTGAACATGGAAATAAACCTAGAAGTTTCAACGAAGACGCACAGCAGCCAGGGTGGCCTAGCATTTTGTGGCTCCCTACTTTGATGACGGTTCCAAAGTCTCTCAAATTCTAAAGATACCACCCTTGCATATTTACTCGAAAGTGTCACAGGTTCAGCGTCCAAGTTTCGACTTGTTAAGAGAGATGCATATTACTCTATTCTTAAAGAAATTCCCAATATGGAATCGCAGTACTTCATTGCTGGTAACATATTACTGGATATTGTTTGTCCATTGCTACCGAACTTATCGTGCCTCCAGTTGCCTTCGGAGATGTGTGAGAGTGGAATCATACGCTTGAATATCATCAAATTGATGCATCACACTGTGAGTGGCCAAGCTCTTCTACAGTGGGAGTTTTGTAGCATGTAAGTGACTAGGAAGCCCTTTCACCTCACTCTTGTATCAGTGCGTGCTTTGAGAAGCCTAGAACCTCTTAATCGATGTGCTCAGAGTTTGTTACTACAGTTTATTGGGTCCATTTGGGCTTGTTTTTTGTCTGACATCCACCTAGTCCCTGAGTCTTAGTTCATCTCTGCATGCGGTCATTTAGAGCTGTTGATGAGATGAAATATAAAGGAAAAGCCTAAGTTTCTATCGATTGAGCGGTATGAGATGTGCCATGTGTTTTGTGAGAGTTACATTCTTGAGGTTGATTATTGTGTGTGTCTCATAATTCTAAACAATGTGTAGATTAGATGTCAACTGGAATTAAGTACAGCTCTTGATATATGGAAATCTGACCCTGAATGGATGTTAAAGATGATTAAACAAATCAATAATCAATATTTGTGATCTCACCTTTCATTTTAGCTAATTTTTATGGAAATAATAATAGCTTTTACATTGTATATATATATATATATATATTCATAATGTAATATATTTATTGACTATCTCTATATCTATAAATTAATTAATGGTATATTTTAAATCATAAAATAAATAATGATATATAATATCTAATTAAAAGAAATATATAACATATATATATATATATATATATATATATATATTTTATAAGTTGAAAGAGAGAAAGTTATTGAAGTAATATATTTATATTATCAAAGCCACACCATACGTAAATATATTTTGTTCGTCTTTTAATTCTTGTTTTTTAAGTATTCTTCATTGTAGCATTCTTCTCTTCTCACATGTCACGGATGCACTATATAAAAGACCAAATAAGAAGTTGAACATAAGAGTTTCAATAAGAAAGTTAGCATGAAATTAAATAGACTAGACAAGTATAAGATCATCAATAAGAGAGATGAGTTAGAGATCGAAGAGATTCATTGTTGAAATTGAAGATTTCCACTATGTATTACACATGATTATCTATTTCAATGTAAGGTGATGATGGTTGTATTCTTAATGATATAGTTCATTTTGTATAAGCTTCCAGGATAGAAACATGAAAGATTGGATATATCTTTATGGATGTGGATAGTTCCAACCAATAAACTACTAGATTGATTTACTTTTGAATACAAAATGGCATCAATCTTCAATAGTCTAACTTATTGCAAAGCCAATTGGTTTTGATATTTCATTAAAGAAGCTATAGTTTATCTCCAACTTAAAAAAAACATAGAATTCTTTTTTTAAATTTATCTATAGATGTTTTATAAGAATCTTGAATTGCTTATAAATAAAGCTTCAAAGTTATTTGAAGGTGTGACAATTATTTCGTAAGATCTTTAACTCCTAGATTTTTTTCTTTTGATATATTCAATAAATCAAACTTTGAATAGTAACTATAATTGGTATAAAATGGTGTTTATTGAGTCAAAGCATGAATAATATTATTATAAATCAACTCTGCTAAAATTAAATGCGATATCTAATCATCTTATTGATAGTTGATGGTACATTATGAATACTGCTCCAATACTTGATTGACTTATTTTGTTTGACTTTTGATTTGAGGATAGAACACAAATAAAAGTTTAATATCTACCTTCAATATCTTAAAAAAAGATTTCCAAAACTTTGATATAAATTGAGATTTTCAATTAAAAATGATGTCATTAGATAGGCCATGATATATATTGATAGGTCAAAAGAAGACAATGATATATTCTAATAAGCTTGGGAGTGATTCAAAATCCAAGGTGATAAGAAATACTCAAAGATTTTGTAATTTAAATATACAATCATAGGATATATAGTGCCTTCTAATAAATAATACTATTCTTAGAAAGAATCTACAATTATAAGAAGCTCTTTGGTGTAAATCTCATAATTGATCTCCACATTTGAAAACTTTTTGAAATAAAATGCAACTTGGTGGAGCTTTTTATCATTTTCTATTTGTGATAGTATAACTTCTAATCCAAAGTCAAAAGCATCAATCTCCAAATAAAAAGCTTTTGTAAAATTTGAATGCATTAAGATTAGAGCTATAATAAAAGTTATCTTTAAATCTTGAAAAGCCCTTTGTACTTGAGGTTTCTCATTCTAATTTATCTTTAGATATCAATCAAGTGACAAAAGAAGCAACTTAGGAATGATTCTTGATAAATATCAAATAAAAATTAATAAATAAAAAGAATTATTATATATTTTATACTATCTTTAGAATTATTTTATTTTTTTATAGCTTAAATTTTCTTTGAATCCATTAATAAATCTTTATTAGATATAATATATCTATAGAAATCTATTTTTAACTGATGGAATACATATTTTTTAAATTTGGCATACAATCTTGTATCTTGTAATTTTTGCAAGACTAATCTTACATATTTTTTATATTCTTTAGGAATAGATTAAGATATCATTAAGATAGGAGACAACAAACTTGTCTAAATTTTTTAAAAAAATATCATTCATCAAATACTGAGATATAATTAGAATATTTGTTAGTTTAAAAGGTATGATATTATATTCAAAATATTCATACCTTGTCCAAAATATTGTCTTCTATTTATTTCCTTCTTTAATTTGTACCAAATTATATGCTCTATAGAGATGTGGGCTTGACTAAGTTGTACCAAAAGCCTTGATATCAATGGTAATGGATAACAATTCTTCACCATTACTTTGTTGAAGTTGCAATAATTAATACACATTCACAAAGATCCACATTTTTTCTTCACAAAAATTATAGATGCACTTGTTGGAGATTTAAAATGCCAAATAAAATTCTTTACATTTTTTTTGTTCACGCAATCCTTCAATGTTGAAAGCTTATTTTGTAATATGTTGTAGATTGGGTCAAATGGCAGTTGAGCCTATTCTTAAAGATCAATGGCACAATCATATGGCCGATGCTATGGCAATATGTCAATATCCTTCTTTTTGAAGATATCTTGAAATTCCCTATACTACTTTAGGATAGCTACTAATAAGTTTACTTCTTCACGAGCTAAAGTTGTATAAATAACAAATAATATTTTCTTCTTAGTCATCTTCATAAAAGTCCTTGCTCTAAGAAATAAAGTCTTTGGTGTTGATGACTTTTTGTTCAAAAGATTTCTACAGAAAATTCAATCTAATAAAACCTCTAATCTATAAATAAATTATATTTTTTTAACCATAAAATTCTTAAATTGATAGAATTGGATCAAATTTTAATAATATTAAATACTATTTTGCTACTATGGCCCTTAAATGATATTTCTAGTGATATGGTCTTATGCATAATATTACTTGAAGATAAAGGTTAACCATCTGTATCTCAATATAGTCTATGTTTTGACTTCTATACTATTTTTTTTTATGAAATTTGATAAATTCTTTATTTAAAAAGTAAGTAAATTTTCTTAAATCTAATAAGACATTTCTTTGAAGTTTTTGTGGACCAAAAAACAAAGATATAATAAAGCAATAAGAAATTTGGATAGAAAGAGACGGACCTTCATGAACTTGAAGTGTTGAAATGCTTAACTACATGATTTCTATTGTGATTAAGCCTCTTTGATTTCTTTGACAATTACACTTCTATTTCTAGTTGTACATTGTTTCTTTAGACAAATCTTAGATTTGTAGCCTCTTTTATTATAATACAAGCATATGCCTTGTTTAAATTAATGTTCTTTTTTCCTTATTGTGAGAAATTTGAATCGTATTGCATCAATTTGCATATCTTTAACTCTGGAATATAGAAGCAATGTATTTTTTGAAGCAATATAATACAAATTTCTAATGTATTACTTTGTAAAAGTCCACGAACATTAAACTTGAGTGTATTTAAATAATCAATTATTGTACTTCACAACTTGACTAATAACTTCATTCAGTATTTGAAGATTAGATAATGATAATAATAGTCTTTCATATTATCTTTTAATCTCCAATAAAATTAGTTCACAAGAGATTGTTCATCTTAATTGATGTCATAGGCTAATTGCCTAAAATCAAATGCATAAATTAATACAAAGCATGATCCTTGATGCAATGAGTAAATCTTTGTTATTATCTATCAGACCTTGTCATGTTCTTCAAATGCCTCTACAAATGCTTCTAAAAAGACCTTCAATATTTTTTAATATTAAAAGATCATTTTTCAAATAAAAGAAAAATTCAAAATAAAGCTTGTCTTATAAGCAAGGTTTTTACTAAATCAACTTATAACTTCTTTGTTAGATAGTATTCAAGTTGTAGAAAATTTATCCATTGAATTTGATTAACAAAACTTCAAAACCTTAAGCATGTGCCATCAAACTTTTCTATAAGACAAATTCAAGGCTCTTTATGTTGTTGAATATGTGAGTTCTTTTATTGAGGTATAGGTGCTATTGCTTCATTAGATGTAGAAGCTTAAGGAAGTGATTGCATCATAAATTGAACTTTTCCAAGTCTTGCACCATTGTTATACTGTAATTGCTTATAGTATGTAAAATTTAGTTAGAACATATAATATGTTCATAAGTCTTGGTGTATGTTAGAGTGGTTATTAGATTAATTTAAAGAGATTGGATTTAAGAAACTTTATTTTGAGTTTTATCTTTTTTGATTATAACATTTAAAAAAATTATAGGACCTAAATGTTTAATATGAAACCTTGAGAGGAGATTAGAGACTAAAGAAGGAAATCTTAACTAATAGGAGGCTTATTAGGAGGGATGAAAGTAAGACATGGTTGGATGAAGGCAAGGAATGGAGATCTTCATTCCTATTGGTCGAAGGCCATACCCAATGGACTTAAAGGAGGCTGCCCGAGGCCTTATTAGGGATTAAGATTTCTCTTTTGAAGTCATTTGCGCTTTGGAGGCTAGGATCAATACATTTAGGATTTTGGGTAAAAATTGGATGCAAATTTTATGTAATTTGGAGTTGTTATGAAGAAGTTATTGGTGCTCAAAGTTAAGGTGTCAATTTCATACCTACTGTCACTCTTTAGCACAAAGCGTATGTTTACGGAGAGCAACAAAAGATCGGCAATTAGGATTGGAGAGAGTACTTTTTTGACTACATCTTTCATATACTATTTGATGAATTTGGAGTTTAGATGAAGAAATTATAGAGGGTTGAAGTTAGCGCATCTAAATCAAACGTAGTAAGTAAGTGATTTTATTCATAGTAATGGTTGAATTTTGGATGAATTTTTAGCTAAAATCTTTTGGAGAAGGTAGATTATTGTGTTGAAAAGA